CATCAGTCCTTGGTTGTCCCATGGTCTTCATACAAAAAATGAGGTGACCGCTCTTTTGCTGTGTATGGCCCCAGACTCTGGAATTCTCTACCACTAGAGCTACGGTCCATAACCGAGCTGGCGGTTTTTAAGTCAACTCTAAAAACCCACCTGTTTAGACAGGCGTTTGGTGCTTAACCCGTCTTACCTCCTCCAAAGATACGTTTTTAACTTGTTGTTTTATTCTAGTTGTATCCTGATATGGAAGTTTTTTACTGTTTCTGTCTTAAAATTCTGTGTTTTATTTTGTTTAAGTTTTATTGTTTTAGTAGTGTTTTTTAGCAGTTATACATGTTCTGCTGTGAAGCACTTTGGCTCCGCTGGAGTTGTAAAGTGCTATAGAAATAAAGTTTTATTATTATTATTATTAATAAACCTGTATTGTACTGCACTGCATTATATTGAAGCAATGTAAAATCAAATACAACACTACACTACCACTAACTACACAGTTACTACCATATGTTGTAGTTTTGAACCAGTACCTCAGTTGTAAGCTTTAAATCATAATGGATTTCATTAGAGTGCCTAATAAACCAATAACTTAGGATATAACAAAAACATGCTGTTTTCATTATTTGCATTGCCTGCTTTTTAATGACTGAGTGATTTAATGTGAGAAAAAGACATTTTTAATATAACAAAGGCCCCCAGACTGAAGCCCAATGGGGCATTTTGGTTAAACAGATAGTTTGAAATGCAGGCTAGTGTTCACAACACATTGTTAAAGGAAAACCCAGTGAGTCTTTTTTCCTTTGCTTTGTTTTCTTTTGCATCACTACATATACATTCCAGAAGTCTCCACTTTCCTTTCTGTGTAGCTCCTTCTTCTATTTTTGATATCAGCTAGTTTGAGAAAAGTGTCAAGACCTTGATAGAAAAGATCTCATGTTTTAAAAATTAGCATGTTTGAAGTATGGTTTTATGAGCTTACTGTTGATACTTTGGATTTGTTGCCTCTGATTAGGCTGGCCCTGTTTTGCTTGTCTCGGCCATGTGAACGGGTCAGCAAACTCTATCACTGGCTCTTGGTCTGGCTCTTGCAACCCTAATGCTATGAGAAATCTGAAACACATGGTGGGCCAGTACAAACAATCTATATAATATACATACTGCTGCAGGTTGCAAGAGAAGACTGATCCACGATGGTGACTGAACCATTTGCTTTGTTTCCTTGCTGTTTCTGAGCTGTATCTTAGAGTGCTCCTCCATGAGAGGATTCATTTGTTATATTTGGCAAATCACCTCATAGATGCAGCTGACACTGTAGCAGAGAAGACGCTCCAGGCTACTGCTCTCAATGGCTTCCTCCACTGTCTAACAAAATGAATGTGATTGATGGGATATAATTTAATGGGAACATCAACATATATCATGCTCAGTATGGCTTCACGTTAGGCATTTAAGATTTGTTTAGAGTTAATTTGAAGTGAAATGTTTGGCATGAAAAAATCCTCACGATTTTCTTATTTCATCACCCTGGACACGAGCAGATCATCCATCAGCCGCTGCAGCTGTTTCAGACTCAAATGCCATGACAGCCTCTGGATGGAATGTAATGCTTCTATTTGAAGTCATAAAATTGATGACAGGATATCAATAACCCCTTAATGAAAGAAAAATGCATGCTTGATTATAGTTATCTGAAAGTTACACAAGTAATATAGGAACAACAGTTTTTTGCTTGTGTCACTTGGCAAATCATTCATTATTTTTCATACTGTGGGAAAGCAAAATCTGAACCAAGGTAAAACAAGAGCATAATATCCAGAGTCATGACTGACCATTTTCTCAGTTTTATTAACATTCATTTTGCACTGAAGGTGCACTTGGCAGTCAGCATGCTACTCTGTGTTTTCACTATTGGACTAATGCAACACCAAATCCCAAACCATTTTTCAAAAGGCTGACATACTTCTTTGTTAAAGCTAATTATGTTTTAAATCCACATGTTTATGGCCTCCTGGCACTCTTGTGTCCCAGATACTGTTAGGGTGATTTTCATTTTTAGATGGAAATGAATAATTAGTTAGGGTTTAGGTGGCAACTCTGAGGGGAGCCAATTACTACCATTTTGCTGACGTTCAGATAAGCAGTACCCAAATCTCCCTTCCCTTCTTTGTTCTGTTTGGAAGTCACTCAGTCCAGCCTCATATTGAGTTAAAGCTATCACAGATTTCAAGATAAGAAACACAGCTATTGTAATGTATCAGAACAATAGCTGGAATCTATTAGGGTCAAGAAACACCATTCCCCCAGTCTGCTCCAAGAAGTGAATCATTACTACAGTTTGACTGGCATAAGAGCAAAGACTGTTGTTTTGCCATGCCAATGCCTTGCCTAAACATGTTACACTGATTTATTATTACTGCATCATCAATTAGAAATTTAGAACATTGTGACCAAACTACTGTGAATAACAAGTTATAAGCCACTGAGTCTTTTATGAAACTGAAAATTTAACAATTTCAAACTCATAGTTTTGATTGTCACTTGTCAAACTAAGCACATATTCACATTAGATTTTCATCTTTTTTATCCTGGCATTTCATTTCAAGCACAGGACCTGATAGTAATGTTTTACATTTTATGTAAAGCTCCAATATGTAACTTAAGGTACCACTAGCATGAAATGCTAGATCAATGGATTACTTAGAGAGGTCAATCCCGCTTAACTGAGGAGGCGACAGTGGTGTGGTGGGTAGAGCAGTCGTCTCCCAACCAGAAGGCTGAAGGTTTGAATTTCAGTGCTGGCAGTCCACATGTTGAAGTCCTTGGGAAAGAAACTGAACACCACCCCCACCCCCGCCAGTTGTTACCCAAGCGACGGGGTTGAGGTGGCACTGCAGATGGCTGCCATCAGTTCTGTACCGGAAACAAATTCCTTGTGTGTAACATACTTGGCCAATAAAGGTGCATATCCTTACAATCTTTTTAGAAATTAATACCTCTGCTCTGCTGGCACTGCTGCCAGTGCTTTTCATTGAGTCTGGATCACATGAGGCTTCAACAGCACCTCTCCACATTAAGTTTTTGGAGCAGATTTTTACACCAAAAATATTTGAAAAAAGTTGCATACTGTAGCTTTAAGGTATACATTTTTAAGCTAACAGTGAAACTCTAGGGATGACAATGTCAATCTGTCAGTCCTCCAGGATATTTTGTGCTGCCTAGAGGGCACACTAAATTAATTCAAACTTTAATCAGTGATAGCTTTATCAATGCTAAGCCCTGCAGACAGTTTTAAAGTTTGTAGTCTATAATTCCTGAAAAGTAGGACAATCCTTGTTTCCAAATTAAATAAACTGCTACTCCCAAAGATTTGGACTTTGTTGGAAACATGCATTTAGTGGTGTGAGGATGGTGGTAAAGCGAGACATTAATTTTTATTTATTTCTGGTTGGAATACTGTGTTTCTCACTCTGGTACATGACAGGAGTGTGGTCGTGTGGTGGTCCTGGCTTTTGTAGTCCTGGTGTGTGAGTCTCAAGTGAAGAGCTCTAGTAACAACCACTTAAACGAAGCATCAGATAGAGCCTGTCATTATTTCCCTATAGGCAGACAGAGGGCACTCCTAGGTGAGGCCACACACACTAGGGAACAATCTTAGGAGTTTCTTTTTTTGCCAAAACTTAAATATTACGGTCACATTGGTATCATCCAGATGCCTTGAATAGATGTGTGTTTTGCTTATTACCAAGGGCAGAAGCAATCATGCTTCTTCTCAACATACTGGCTCAATTTAACCGAGCTTCTAAGATTACATCCCATCATAAATTTATCAAAACACATTTACTAACGCTATGTTTAAGTTCATTACTTTTGCTAGGTCCCTCTATCACCAGTAATATGTCACTATATGCAAGTCTCGATTTATATGTTGACATTCTATAAAATATCTATACATTTCAGCATTATTAGATCATACATATGCCTGTCTGGCATCCAGACTAACTATAGATGGAGATTTTAACTACGCAGTGCTAGACTGACACTCCAAACAGTGCTGTGGTTGACAGCATCATCTCAGACCCATCAATTTTTTTTGACCTAGCTGCTGCATTTATAGTCTATTTTTAGGACTCAAATATGGCTCTGCCACAGGTCATTCACTGTTCAGTCACTATGGTATTGTTCTTTTTGTCATGTTGTTCCACCTTATAAAGAAATCAATCCTGGCTGGGGTAAAGAAGGCAATTATTAGTTTGACATACTCTTTGGAGAGTTGCCACATTTATGCTAGACCTTTATCACATAGTGTTAATCTGCAGAAAGTATTCCTTCATTGTGCTGTAGAATCATTGCAGCCTTAACAAATTGTGATGAAACTGAGATTTTAGTATGTGTCATTTGGATCTGATGACTTCGCTTTGGATTGATCTCTCTATGTGACAAAGAGCCAGTGAAAAAGATCCACCCTGTGGTTAAAAAGACAAGTCTCTCATTTATATCAGATGTCCATTGATGGCCCTCCAGGCACAGCTCTCCTATTTCTTCCTGACCAATTTTCAGAGTTTACTTTGGATGCCGCTTTGGGTTTGCTGTGTCAAACCACTGCACGTGGATTCCATAAATGTGTGATTTATATTGGACCCATGTAGACTGTATCTCAAGCTGAGGTGTTGCACTTTCTCAGCTCTCATAATGAGTATCTCATTTTATGTTGTGTTATCTGTAAAAAGCAAGAAAGAAGTGTATTAGTGTATAATCTCAACCTTGTTAGAATAATGACATTTTAATAGAGATAAGCATACAGTACACTAACATTAACACAGGAGTTGTAAAGAAATGGAAACCATTTACATAAATTAATTGTGATGAGCTGTTACTGTATATAGTTTATTTAATATTTCCAAGAAATGGCCATAAGCTGTGAGTGCAGCTCTAGGAGAGCACTCAAGCATGTCCACATGTGAAATGAGTTGCTTGCTCCCTGTAAGAACCAGTGTGTTGTGTATCAGGGCTATGGCTCAGACGTTGCCTGGAAGTGCTATGGAGATCCGCAGCCAGGAGAGAAGGTCCTGCAAGATATAAAAGAGAGGAGAGAGCAGGAGAGGCGACTTCAAGAGATCCAACAGCAGCTGGAGATCCTGAGCCAGGGCCAGGAAATGACTGTGAGTTCAAAGCAGCTATGTTAGTTCACACATATACACATCAAAACACATGCTCGAGTTCTCAAATTCACACGAGCAGTTATATCCATAAATGCCTGTGTTGTACATTATACCGTAGCAGTCCTTAAAGCTCCTACCCATAGATGTGTGAGATAAATTAGGACAAGCACACAGCTCATCATCAGGGGGGCGATGAAATCAAATGCAATATTTGTATTTCTGCAGGCCTGTATCTTTCCTCTTTTTCTCCATTTTATTTCATTTTCTTTGTACAACTAACACTCACACTCAGTTTAATACTAGTTAACACTCATACATAAAATGTAGTTTGTAATTTTCACTTTGTAGCAAGGGGTTGATCTGAAGGACAGGATGGTCATTTACTTTGCTGATATTCTTTTTTGTCTTCTACGGCATTTCATTGCTTTCTAGTAGTCTTTGCTGAAATTTGATGCCCATTCTCCACAGCGTTTCCTGGAAACCACTGAACTCTGTCTGGTGCCTCTGCTGAGTTACAACCACAGAACTGTCACTCCTTCCCAAAACCTTGTAGCTAAAGGCACAACACAAGAATGTTCCAAGAACAAAGGTGGATAGGAATGATTTCTGCTCTCTGACATTTATGACTTTAGGTTTTATGTGCAAGGAAAGGAAAACATTAGAGATAAATTTAGTGGTTTGACTTTGTCATTGTTCAAATGGGTAGTTTCTCTTGGTCTGGCATAACAAAGTACCTGTTTGTATTATCACAGTGCTGCTGTCAATGAAATACAAATTCAAACGTGTTATCCAGTGCATCAGTTCTCACAGTGAGGAAAATAATGTATGTATATATCATAAAAACACTAAGTGGCAGCCACACCCTTACATCAAACAGGACATCATACCATACAACCCCAACCTATTCCTGGCCTAAATAAGGAGAGACACATGGGATTTTTTTGCTAATGAAGCCAGGTTTTTTTTTTTTTTTGAGGAAACTTCTCTTATTATAATTACAAAGCATCACAGCCACCAGTTTCTTAACTGCTGGTGTTGCCAGACCCTCTTTGCATTTACAGTAGCTGTGAGTCACTGCATTTTAAATACTGTCAATAAATGACTGCACCCAACAAGTGTGTATACGCTTAGTGCCTCCAAGCTTGTTTTGTGGTTGGAAAAGATTTATTTGCATGGAATTTGTCTGGGAGGGCATTCTGAAATAGTTTCACATAGTTCTGGTAGGCCCATAAAATTGATTTGTTATAACATCTATAACTCAAATGTCTTCTCACAGTCTTTGTGCACCTGAAGCGTGTACCAACTATGCAGGCTTTGTGCGTAATTCTCTGGTGGATAACTATAAATAGATCCGTTTGTAAGTAGAATATATGTTAGCTTAGGCGTGACCTGCCTCTCTTCTGCCTTTCTCTCTCCTGCTCTCTCTTTTTGCGGGATCAGCACCTCAGCTGTGTCGCATGTTGTAATCAGTGACTTGTGGGTTGTCACGCACAGCTGGGGCACATCACTGTAATCACCCTCCTACCTTATTTATACCTCTGGCGGATGCTCTGTCATAGCTGGAGCATTAACTATGAGGTTTGCTAGACATATTTTTTGTTATCCACGCTGACAGTTCCTGTGCTGTGGATTTTCGTTTTCGTTCGTTTGTCCTCATGATTAGCCTGTCTATTCACCTGTCCGTCCTCATCCTCCTGCTCACCTTAGTCTTGCTGTTAGTTTGTCCTTGTACTGTATTCATTGACTGTTTCATTTTTTTTGTGTGTGTGTGTTCCCCACCATTAAACCACCATTTTTACTAGCACCCTAGGTCAGCACTTTTGAGTCCTACCATAGTTCTCCCTCACCCTCCTGGTGAGGGGGACTAAATCATAGCAAAGCTGAAAATAAATACATAGAGTCAAATTAAAGCTGACAGTCTGCAGTTAAAGCACATCTTGTTCGTTTCATTTCAAATCCATTGTGGTGGTGTATAGAGCCAAAAATGTTAGAATTGTGTCGATATCCCAATATTTATGGACCTGACTGTACATACATAAATAAAAATGATAATTTTTCTACTTTTGCTTTTGGATTTTCAAAACTGTACAGTAACATATTCTACACTCATTTCAAGACCACACAAAGACAGGCAGTTTATTTGCTTAGTGCAGCTACCAAGAATTCTGAAGCATAGTAATCTACTGCTTAAACATCAGCATTGTAGCCAAGGAGGCACCATTTAGTACAGCATGCCTGGGAGTCTCAGGGGGGTAAGTGCTGTAGATCCTTGTTTTATCACTGTAATGTGAATACACTTGTGGAAAGCAGCAGTTTATCTGTTGGAGATGACAAGAGATGTTTAGTCTGGCCTGCTGCTGCTGTGTAACACGGCTTATGTACTAGGTGGAAAAGTCTCACATATTGTGACTGCAGTTGATTGATTCCAGTGTGCAGTTTTAAGAATGAATATTTCTGCCAGATTTACCTTTTTATAGTAATTGATTTAAACAAAAGCATAGTTGTGTTAGATTCAGATCTGAAACCAGTCATTTTGGCTGTCATCCCTGCTCCTCCTTAGCCCTTCCAGTGAAATTCATTCTTAGCCCAATAATCGCTCTCTGACTTTAGTTTTTGTCACTGTTAAAAATACGGTATTTGTTTATGTAGCTAGGTCATGATATTTCCTTTACTAAGAACTTTGTTTTTGGTATGACCGTCACTGTTCTCAGGTAATGAGACAATTTTTTTGAAATACAGTAAAATCATCATATCAACAATTTCCTGAAAGTGGAGATAACAGACAGGGCTGTTTTCAACTCTAAAAAATAAATCTGCAGCAGCTGATCTGGTGCTAGTTTTCTTGCATCTTCCTTGGCTGCATTACTAGAACAACTGCAAAAGGAAGGACAATCTCAACATTTACAGTTACAGCCAGGCAGTCTTGCTCTAATCAGGCTGACATCATCCATCATTTATCAGTTAGTACAATTTGTCATAAGTTCTAATCAAAGGGTGTATTATACAAGACAAACAGCACCCCAAGGGGTTTTGGTGTGGTCACAAATGACACACTGAGTATTATAGTACATATCTTGTATGTGATATTAAAGCCACAAAAGTTGATAAAGCATCATGGAGTAATACAGGTGACCTGAATCTGTTAAGACTCATTGTTTAAGCATTATTGAGCCCTGTTGTGCTGCCAGCTCTGCAGTTTCACAAATCCTTTTCCACTGAGGACTGCTCAGGTTTGACAGAAAAGAGAAGCCACAGAGAAAAAAGGATTCTCTTGCCTACAGCGTCTCTCATCCTCCCCTCTACTTCATTCCATCCACAGCTATGGGGCTGTTAGCTATTAGCTTGTCACGCTGTCTACTCTTGTTTTGTACTTTATGAGCTCCTGAAATAGAGACAGTCTGACAAAAGGGGTTTCTTCTCCACAACAGTTTTTGCTTCGTCTGTCTGCATATTTCTACTGAGAGGCATAGAATAAGACGTGCTGGTTTTTGTTATAAAAATGATTTTCATGATATGTACATTGGTAGCTGCTAATCACTCTTCATACCAGATTGCATTATACACTGGTGTCTTTACTCCTGCACTAAAAATGTCTGTTATGAAACCTCCTCAAGTTTCAAATCTTTAAAGAGCCCAAAGCATGCTTTTCCTTGTTTTTCTCACTTATCTACAACGTTCATTCATGTGAGCTTGCCTGACATCCACCAGTGCCATTGTAAAAGTGGAATTTTTTGAATGTGCCTGGTTTTGTGGATATATTTTCCCTCCTGCTGCACTGTGACCAGAGGATGTGGAGAAAAAATACAGGGTCTGAGGTTACTGCATGTCCAGGAATATTCATATACAGGGACCTGCTGTTTTACCTGACTGGGTGTAACTCATAAGCAGCCGGCCTTTGAAGCCCCCCGCAGTGCTGAATGATCAGCTCATCAACGCTGGATTCCCCCAGACCATAGTACCTGTTTGTTTTGACTGCTTGAGGCCAGTGTGCCTGCCGCATGTGATGTGTTGCTGGTTAACCAGCGGATTAATGACCCATGATGTTATTGTCAGTGCGATGCTACCTGGGACTACTTTGGGACTGTCTGTGGTCATGTAGGGGAAGAGGCAGCAACCATGGGTTGGATTTACCGACCTTGGAGCTACTTGAAAGGGAGTGATGTTTCCACTACTCGGTGGGACTTAACCGTAAGTTTGAAAAGACACACGTTGCATGTCTGTTAATGCCTTGTTTCTGTAAGGTTAGGGAGAATTGTTGCAAGGTTGGAGAAGTTACTATGTCTGCATTATGCCAGTTAAAATATGGGGTTTCTCAATTACCTGTTTTGTTTAGAGTGTTACACATCTCTTTTCATCGGTACATATACCGCTGATTACCCATCTGTGGAGGAGGAATTCAAATGAATTAATGCCGTTGCAGTTTGTTGTGCTGTCCACTTTCTATGCAACACCTCTTGTTTTTAGGAAGAGGCTCTCTGATTTTATTGTTCTGAAATAATTACAGACTATTTGGAGTTAAGATAGGTGCAAAGCTAATCTAGAAGAACCCAAGATTAAACATTAAATGACTGGAAATGACCATGCCACTGGCTCTTTAAAACTGAACTGAAATTTGAATTCCACCACTTTTGTGAAAGAAAATATAAACTATAATAATGCTGCACCTATATATAGCATAGTTTTCCATTTTTTAAAACAGTTTTAGATGTATTTGTGCACATTTTTGTTGACTGACATTGGGTAGCAACTTCTGTAGATTTTTCAATGAGCACACAATGTTGCTTATATACCATTCTTCTGGGAGGACTTTGTGTGCTGTTCAGTTTGTATTTGTCTTGAAAATTGGAAGATAGGAAGCTATATCAACTAGATTCTACTGTGAAAGTGGAAGGTAATTAGCTTAGATTTCAAATTTAGCAAGCTGGAATTAAGTGAGCAAGCTAGACAGTCAGCTATCATTGCAATATAAAGACTTTACCTCAGGAAGTTCCGGATACAGTCTTATGCAAAAGTTTAGGCACCCCTTGATAAATAACAGATTTTGGTGATTTTTTATTTGAACAGATGTTAACACAGTTTCTCTTGGAAATGGAAAAAATGCACAATATTTTCAGCAAACAGTGATGCATAGTTACTTCTTATGCCATAAATTGAACAAAAATAAAAAATAAAAACATTATTATGGCATGGTGCAAAAGTTTGGGCACCCTAAGAGTTCCAGAGTCTCAAAGTCTCTCACAAGGTATCAGACCTTAATCAGCTCGTTAGATCTGATGCACAGCAACAGCTGTCATTGGTAAATGCCAATTTCAAAGCTGTACAAATACTCCACCCGTGCAATGTTTCCTGTGCCACTGGCTGCAACACAACCCCAGAGCATGATAGATCCACCCCCATGCTTAATAGTTGGCAAGGTGTTCTTTTCATGAAATGCTGCTCCTTTTTTTCTCCAAACATGCCTTTGCTGATTGTGTCCAAAGAGTTCTATTTTAACTTCATCAGTCCACAGCACTTGTTTCCAAAACGCATCGGGCTTCTGTAGATGTCCTGTTGCATACTTCAGACGTTGGATTTTATGATGGGGACGCAGATAAGGTTTTCTTCTGCTGACTCTTCCATGAAGGCCTTGTCTGTGCAAGCATCGCTGCACAGTGGAACGGTGCACCACCACTCCTGAGTCTGCTAAATCTTCCTGCAGGTTTTTTGCAGTCAAATGGGGGTTTTGATTTGTCTTTCTGACCAGCATACGAGCAGTTCTGTCCGAGAGTTTTCTTGGTCTTCCAGATCTCATCTTGACCTCCACAGTTCCCCTGATCTGCCATCTCTTAATTACATTTCTTACTGTGGAAACTGCAAGCTGACAACGCTTTGCTATCTTCTTGTAGCCTTCTCCTGCATTGTGGGCATCAATAACTTTCATTTTCAGGGTCTTACACAGCTGCTTAGAGGAACCCATGGTTGCTGGGTGTCCACAAGTGTGTGCACAAGGTTTGAAGAGTCAAAGTATTTGTACAGCTTTGAAATTGGCATTTACCAATGACAGCTGTTGCTGTGCATCAGATCTAACGAGCTGATTAAGGTCTGATACCTTGTGAGAGACTTTG